AAGATGCAGTTGCTCAAGACCCAAGGGCGGAAGGCAGGCCCGTGCTGATGCCTGAGGTCGTCAGCGAGACGCCGATCTGCTGGCTGAGGTTCACACGCTGGCGATTCCGCTGAAATGAGCATGAACTTTAACCCCGAAAGGGCTGATGTAAGCAGTGACCGCCAGCAATGTCTGATCTGTCCTACCAGCTGCTCTTCTGCCTTGGTCTGTTCTTGCAAGCACGCACGAACACATACATTTTCTAATATGTGTGTGAATGGTGCGTGAGAAGCACTCTTACACCGCGAATATAAGAATGAGTAACCACTAAGAAAAAACGATGTTCATTCGTTCATCAGTTTAAATTGTAGCATCTAGCAAACAAAAGAAACATGAAATGTGAGACAGACATACCGCACTGACAATCCGAAATACCATTATCAGCCTTTTAATAATTTTGTCACTTCTGTTCAAACATCAGTGTACGGTGCAACATTTGTAAGTTACCGACCTTTCACTGCTCTACTCGCAGAAGAATATACTAAAACTCCCACATCGATTTTCTTTTATTGACACATATTATATCTAATTCCCTGGTGTCTACTATGCGGTGTACATACTTGCAAATCAAATATATATTCCACCTCCCTCTTTTTCCCATGCGCACACAAACTTAAAGGTAAAGGTGTGCATTGTGCGTGAGACTGTTAAATACACATGAACTTGAGCGCACACACACACTTTAGTCTGCATCCTGACATTGATGTGTCGCCGAGACGTAACATGTGGTGACGCCGTATGCAGACGGAAAAACACCCTGAGGCTTGTTTTGGCGAGACTTGTCGCACTGACTATTCATTGTGAGAGAGAGAGAGAGAGAGAGAGAGAGAGAGAGAGAGAGAGAGAGAGAGAGAGAGAGAGAGAGAGAGAGAGAGAGAGAGAGAGAGAGAGAGAGAGGGAGAGAGAGAATGGGTACACACTTTGGTAACAGTAAGGTAACGAGGTTGACAATGACTGTGATAATACTAGCAGCAGCAGCAATAATTGAGATAATAACAGTAATAGAGAGGATGATGAAAAGAAGCAGAAAAAGAAAGAGATCAACACCGCTCGTAAGAGTTGACGTTTCAACTTCCGGGTAAAGCGGAATGTGAGGGCGATGGGGCCGGGTTGGGAGGGAGAAAGAGGTGGGTGGGAGGGAGGGAGAGAGAGAAAGAAAGAGAAAGGAAGAGGGAGAGAGAGAGAGAGAAGAGAGAGGGAGAAAGAGAGAGGGAGAGAGAGAGAAAGAGAGAGGGAGAGAAGAGAGAGAGGAGAGAGAGAGAGAGAGAGAGAGAGAGAGAGAGAGAGAGAGAGAGAGAGAGAGAGAGGGAGGGAGGGAGGGAGGGAGGGAGGGAGGGAGGGAGGGAGGGAGGGAGGGAGGGAGAGAGAGGGAAGAGGGAGAGAGGGAGAGAGGGAGAGAGGGAGAGAGGGAGAGAGGGAGGGAGGGAGGGAGGGAGGGAGGGAGAGAGAGAGAAAGAGAGAGAGAGAGGGAGGAGGCAGGGAGGGAGAGTAAAGGATAAAAGCGCAAGAGACAAAGAGAAAAAAAGGATGAAAGAGAGAGAACACAACCAAAGATGGCCTAAGACTCACAACAAGACCTACAAAATTATTAAACCACCATTTTTTTTCACGGACAGTTAATAACATCGAGTTTTTGCTAAGATCTTTTCGCAAAAAATAGAATTGAAATTTTCACTTTTAAACGTCTGTTTAACATCAGTTTGCGGTAATCTTAAGTTATGTAATTGATTCCCTATCCTGGAGCATGACCGGAGAGATCTGATCATGTACACAGGAACATGATTTGTCTTTTGCACCTCAATACACGTCTTCCCACAGGGACACTCGTTCCTACATCCACGAACAATTAAAACAAATGACACGTCCTCAGAAGCACAGCACGCCTCCATCAGCTCCTGAACAGACTGTGTTGCAGAGCACAAAACCCAAATAGGTGCAAAGACAGAACACACGAGGTTCCCCGAGGTTCCCACGTGATCGTGACCCGAGCAGCAAGGGGAGAGGCAGGTGGTGGGGTGCAGGATTCCGTGGAAGCTCCCTCGGATAAACAGTTACACAGCTTCTTGCCTTCCCAATGCCCCAACACACCACCCCTCCCCCCTTTAATTATGTCTTCGCAGTTATTCACTTTTTCTTTTCCTGATTCTGTTCTTCTTCATTTCTATTCTCCCTTTTCTTAACTTGCCCTTTTTCTTCTTCTTGTTCCACTTTCTCCTCCTACTCATCTTCTTCACTCCCCCCGTGTGCCCCTATTCGCCACATGGGAAAAGCAGATCGGAGAAGAATGACCTCTCGTGTGAACTCTTCAACTCTTCAACTCCAACCGGAGTTGCTCTGATCAATTAGCAGTCACGCTTGCGGTGAGGACCAGGCAGCCGCCGCCGCATCCTCGCCTTGGGTTCTTTCTTTCTCGTTTTCGTTTCTGAATGTTCACTTGAAGGTTCTACGATCATTAAAACGG